AAATAAAAATTTGTATAAATTATCGATATTGCATTTATCATTTAGTTTTATTTTTACATACATTTTTATTATAAGAATACAGCAGTTTTGCTGCATCTTAGAACACTTATAATTAAATATACTGCAAGAGAATAAGATATATATAAGATAATTTATAATTAATTATATTAAATTTTGATTGTTATAGAAAAGTTAAACGTGATTCCATCAGTGCGGAAAGCCATGCTGATAAAACGCTGCAAGTATGCAAACAGGAGGATGATCATGTCTTTGTAAAACCAGCTGAACCAAAGAGTCGTGATTCCATAGACTGTGAACAAAATAAAGAAAAACTAGTGAGTGTATTGTTCTAATATTTGTAAAATGTTGTTTTAATGCATATTGCATAGATTGAATTTTTTTAGAAAAATTGAAAGCAGGGAAGACATTCTACTTATTATTTTTTTAAATTAGGATGAATTTCATTCAAAAAACACATGCACATCTTTTTATATACCTAGTTTTAAAATATTTCACATAAAACACTTTAGAAAAGATTGCAATGAATATTAAAAAATTGTAGAATATGAAATATATTTTAGGATGAGAATGGTAAAGAATCCACCACAGACAAGATTGTAGGCAGAAGAAGATTTCGTGAACTTCGACAACGTATGCAAACGGAAGATGATGACATTCCGATTAACAGTTCTCCTCCGGATAGCCAGACATCTTCCATCGAGGGTGTTTATCCTACTCCTTCAAAAACGACCCATCCGTTCAGAATTATAGAGCATGACACCCTTAGCTTACAAAGTATGACCTCTTTAGGACGAGTGGGCCGAATTCTGGCGGGAGTCGCAGATAACGCTTCTGGCGTACTTGTATCTGGTATATCCCAGTGCCCTCCTCCTGCCGCCCTTACCCGCGAGGGTCAGATGTCCTCCATTGCTAGTATTCCGAGCAAAGACGAGGACACAACCTCTGGTAAGGTGTCCCAATCTTCCAGTATCCTTACGTTATCAGGGGATGTCCTGCAGGAATCCTCTGTTAACAGTACATCCAATTATACTTCTCACTCGCAAAGTGACAAGACTATTATGCTTCAAGAACCTGATGTCATCGCTAGCACAAAAAATAATGGAAAATCAGTGGAAGATGTTGCGATGCCTGGTGTCCCTGTTGCTCCACCGCGTCGTAAAAAGAAAATTAAGACACACGCATCGAGCGATCTTGCTGTAAGATTTATCAATTATCTTTTCATTGGCACTGATTAACAAGATCCACTACGCGGATGTAATTTATTTTAAGCAATTCATTTCAGCCCTCTGCAGAAGTGCTTGTTTCCGCGTCGCCACTTCCAAGTCCAGCAAGTACCATAGAATCGATTACGAGAGAATTCGAGCACTCTCTTGATATCCGATCTGCGACGAAAGGCCAGTACGTCGTTAAGCCACAAGTAAACACTTTTCTCATCTTTTTGTTTGCAAATAGAAAATA